TTAAAATGCGGTGAGGACGGGTTTTTTAGCATGAATTACGATCTTTTTATTCTAATTACGATATCATGACAATCTGTTCATACCAGAAATATAATAATAATAATTCTTAAATGAGTAGGAATGAAATTACGTTTGTAACACAGTCGTGACTTAAAAAAAAAAAGAAATCTTCTTAACAGCAAGTCCACGTTGGTTGATTTTCTTACAATGAATTTACGTTATATAAAAAGAGGGTATAGTTATTGTGGTATATAAAACTGAAAGAATATAACATTACCAAACGTAAAAGATCTTGAGATGCAAAATTTTCAAAACAAATTATTAGATAAAACTAGATACTATCTTTACATATCGTATATTTTGCATTAGGTTAATTTTATCATTTTTTTTATTTTATTACTTTTATAACCAGCAAGTAAAATTTCAGAACATGATATATTTTTGTATTGAGAAAAAAAACAACCAAAACAAATTCTTCTTAAAATTAAAGCCACTGAAATGAAAATATTGAAACATGACTTTTTTGTTAAATAATAAGATGTTTTGACAAGGTATTTATCTTCGTTTCTTTTGATACATTTAAAGATAGGAGAGTATTTTAATGGCCAGCTACTCTATTTTCTATTTGAATTTAACAGGGTGTGAAATATGTATTTTTAAAATTTATGTTACCGAAATCTGATAGAAAAATCTGAACAAAAGGGAAACACGATTCTTGTATCAAATGCCCCAAAATACTTTGGTCTTATGAATTTATTTTATATTTTACTATGGTGTCCCGTGGGGAACAATTGATGAACAAATTATACGTGTACTTCTGATGTTTATCATACACACACATGGTAATGTTTGATTTTATTAACCTGTCAATTGAATAGTGATTATACGGTCAATGCCCAAAATATATTAATTTTCGATAAATTTTCGGTAATTTTGTGAGATGTACATAGTAAGATGTGATGAGATTAAATTTGTTTCTACTGGCCGTTATAGTGCAATAGTGTTAACTATGGGTTTATAATTTCCAGATGTCCTACATGTTGTAAGATAGAGATCGCGTATGTCCATGTTTCCCCCTTATTTATAACTGGGGAGATGTCTTTAGAAATTGTTAGCTCGTATAAATATTTAGGGACATTGTTTTCAAAATCAGGCAGTTTCTTAAACAACAGAAAACATTTAGCACAGCAAGCAAAAAAGGCTATGCACTTATTGTATAAAAGAATTCATAACCTAAATTTGCCTATAGACCTTATATTTAAATTATTTGATCATACTGTACTGCCAATTTTAACATATGCATCTGAAATTTGGGGCTATGAAGACCTAAAAATCCTGGAGAGAATACATTGTGAGTTCCTTAGGAAAGTCTTACATCTTAGAACAAGTACACCCCTGTATATGCTATATGCAGAATCTGGCAGATACCCAATTAATATTACAATTAAATGCAGGATGATTGGTTTCTGGAACAGATTAATATTAGGAAACAAAAATAAAATTGCATACAAAATATATCAATATATGATTAATTGCCAAGATTTTGAATTTAAATGGCTCAGTTATATTAAAAGTATACTTTCAAATACGGGTAGGAATGACTTATGGCTAAATCAGACAAATATTCAGAGCAAAACGATCAAATGTGTTATTAAACAGGTACTTTTAGATCAGAATTATCAAATGTGGCATGAAACTCTACAAAATTCAAGCAAAGGGAGAAATTATTCTATATATAAAGAAAATATATGCCTTGAAAATTATTTATTGACTCTTGATAAGGGAGATTTTATAAATATGATTAAATTTAGAACAGGAAACCATTTTTTCCCGATAGAAATCGGCAGATGGGAAGGTACAGATATCTCTGAGAGAAAATGTTCTCTTTGTAGTTTAAATGACATAGGAGATGAACTCCATTATCTGTTGAAATGCACCTTTTTTGATGACCACAGAAAAAAATATATTAACAGATATTATTATAGGAATCCAAACATTATTAAATTTAAAATGTTATTAACGAATTCAAGTCCTATGCAATTACAAAAACTTTGTAAATTCATTAAAATACTATTTGAAACAATACGGAGGTAATGTTTGTAACAAATCATGCAATATAATGTTTGTTAGGGAAAAAATGCTTATTTATATTTTTCGAAATTCTGTCCATTGCCATTATCTGTTCATATTAAGACTTCATGTTTGCTTCACGCTGACTATTGTTGTCATCTTTAATATGCTGTATAGAATGTATATTAATGCCATAACATGCAAACTGTATAATAACGCAATATATACTAGTAACCCGATTCTACATCGCAAATCAAATTAATGTTCCCAACCACTTCCCTACCTATCTAAACATGGCATAAGTCTAAAAAACGCAACAAAATTTATAAATTAATATCATAAGAAAAAGGGTTAAACAATTAGTTTTGCGCAAAATACCTTTTTTCTGTTGACAAGTACGCACATTAATCCGTGTTTGTTTTTGTTTATACTAGTAAATAAAGACATACTTTCTATAAGCGCGACACACTTTAAGTCTGTCACGATTCGCACGATCTAATTCAAGGTCAACAAATTTGAGCCAATCAGATAAGACTGAAATAGACACGAATGTCAATACTCCTACAACTGTCTATAGTCTGTTTTAAGATTCATACCATTTTCACACCTGTATAAACATACGACTTCACCGTTCGGAATAATTCTCGCATCGCCCCCCCACCCCACTCCCCTCATCAATGTACTTATTATAATAACTGAATATTTAAATTTACTGAAAATATCGCTTTATAATACTGTTTGCATACACCACATGTCATGTGTTTTGAAATTTGCATTTACTCTGTAATCTCATATGTCTTTTGATTTGAGATAATAAAGTATTGTTCTGTTAAAAAAAAAAAAAAAAAAAAAAAAAAAAAACTATTTTCAACATTATTGAAGCTATGATTGTTTTTATGTTGTTCTTTTTGTTTTTTAATATGTTTTGCACTTTTTGTGGTAAAGTCTATACTCTTTGTTTTATCAATTTAGTTTAAGAATTGATATTAAAAATTCATTCGGATTGAAATCAATGAATGTTATTTTCAGTGCCGTAAATTACAATACAAAACGAGACATATCAGTGTTTTTAAGTTGTGTCATGTCCGTGTAGACAATTTGCGAGCACTTGGTCATTTTCATTAAACTACACTTCAAAAAATAAAGAAATAATACGTCTTATAACAATTGCAAAAGTAGGGATCAAACCACAGACCTCTCATGTATATAAGGTTATCACTTAACCGAGTGTGCTATTGCGAATATGACGAGAAATGTCTTTGTTACCGGTGCCCCGTTGGTCACGTGGGTTTCGTTTTCATGAAAATAACATGGTATCGACGGTTTGGGCCAAAGATTCACAAAGATATGTTGAGGTGATTTTTTTTAATTGGTTAGGTTTTACAAGTTAGGTCTTCAAGGGACTTTCCAGATTTATTGGCGGCGGAAGACCTCAGGTGCTGCCCGTGCATTATTTCAGGTACGAACGGGCACCCGAGTAGAACCACAGACGTCTGTCAGCTAGCTGTTTATCAAACTCACATGAAAGAATCCAAAGTCCCTTTCGGGATTCGAACCCACAGCGGTGAAAGAAGGTACATAAATAAAAGGAAACCAGGATACTTTTTTATACTGATTTATTTACTTCAGTATCTTCAACAACAATTGTTGATTAAACATTTATTAAGCACATTCATAACATTGCACTTTGTTTACTATAATATACATTTTACTATTATTCTAATCTACAATTTTAAAGTTTTTATGTGCAAGAGACTACGAGTATAATAACCACCATGTGCTATCAGTATAGAACCAGGCAAATTTGCCGTACAGACACAGGGATACTTGTGTGTGACTACGGGGACAATGTTTAGGTAACAGTACATTTTCTTTGATCCTATTCATTCAGTATTGACTTGTGTAGCTATTTTTGGTCTTAAACTTTTTGTGTCCGAGTGACAAAAAAGAACAATGGACACAACAAAAAGAAAGTTACACAAGTACCGAGTTCATCGGTGCAGTCAGATCATGTTCTATACTGTTAGCGTCTATGTTTTACTATTTGTGATACTCATCTCCCTAAATCCACTAATGGGACTGATCTAAATTCAAAGCAGAGCACGCACGTTACAACAATTTGGCAGAGTGAGCATAAACAATGGAAGATGACGTTGGTATATTAACACCATTTGTGTAAGTCAAATAATATACCCTGTATTTCAATTTGAATTTACAAAACAGCCTTAAAAGAAATGATTTGTGTTAGATATATAAAAGATAAATTCAGATAACATAATGTTTTATTTCACATTATATAGCACTATTCAACATTATATATCAAGAGAGATAACTAGCACTTTAAAACATCTAATCAAGGGAGGTAACAAAGAACCTTTTTTTAGAGTAAAAAAGCAGAAGTGTAACATGCATTTTTATTAAATTCATAAAAAATCAAGTCCTCAGAATGGCATACAAGGGTGTTTTGGACACTTTTTAAAGTCACTAATAAATGACAACTTTCCAACAATACTGGTAATGGGAAACATCAAGATATCTATTTCTATGTTATCCCTCACTACAACAGACAAAGTAGTTATCTACCTTCCATACTCTGCCTTTCTTATATTCACAAATTCACAATACAGAATGACAAAAAGAATGAATGGCACATAGTTGGCTGAAAATCAAAAGCATCTTTTGAGAATCAGCAGAAAAGGTAGCCATAAACACAAAGACAAAATTCTAGGCAAATTTCCACAAAAATGAGACCCAATGGTATAATCAAAAGACATCTGTGATTGAAAGCTTACGGTGATCTTTGAAATAAAGCAAGCAACTAAGAAGACTGTCTTCTCTTGCCTTCAAGGATATATTCACCGGCCATAATGCCTGTCTGTAGTAAAAATACATGATTCAGACTGTCCGAGGCATCTGACTTTGAAGTCATACAGTACATTTTATATATCTGAACATTCTCATGTAAAAATTCTAGACAACACCTTACTGGAAGCTATAATAGCATAATTACAAAAAAAACAACAGCAAATCATCAACTTCTGTCTGTACATAATTCTAAACTATCTTTACAATTCTCCTGAACTTCTATTCTAAATTATACACATGATAAATCTGTGGTAATACAATAAATGTAACATCAATTTTTTTTGCACCAAATATTCAACAAATCTTTTAGTCATAATATTTGAAATTCTGTCACAGAGTAAGCATAATGAGCAGCCTGACCAGGTCTCAAATCCAAGACCCTCGGAAAACTGTGCCGAGGCTCTACTGACTGAGCTATCTGGCCGCTAACACCTTCTCTCCCCCAATAAGTGAACAGTTTAAGTCAATGACAAACTAAGTTATAAAAATGTCAGCAAATTAGCACTCAATATTATCTATTCACACTTTTACATATGGATCTTACTTAATTCTTTCCTACACAAAGATTTTGTTAAAAAAAAACTGACTTTTGTATATTTATATATACAAAAACTGGATAACTTGACAATACTAAATTACCCTATGTATCTAAAAATATGATCACCAACATCACAAATAAAGCTTGTCTGCATAACGGTCAATAATCACAAAAGCATATAGCACATTTACAAAATGAATATTATAACAGGTGCAAAACTATAAAATTCCGGCCTGGAGTTATCCTTCATTACACATAAGCTTGGGTACAACAATTATTCAAAAGCATTTCCCATCTAAAAACAATTTGTTTTTTTACAATAATACCTTATGTGTTAATACAAAACAAAACAACCTATGCAACATTTGGCTTTAACATTAACAAGAATATCAGTTCAACCAATAAATGCTCCCCCTTTGTTGTTTTGACAAAGTGAAAAAATTATCTTTGAGAAAAAGTAGGAAATTTTATCTTTTTTAGCCACATTGACCTTCACCCGAATGACCTCAAAATCCAACCGAAAGGTAAAGGTCATCGAAAGATACCAACACCCCAAACATGTAAAATATCAGTCTTGAATGAAGGATCTAAGCAAGTGTGATGAAGGAAAAACAGATAAAAGGAAGGACCAAACCAGTGACTTTAAGCTCCAAAGGAAAAATTAAGACTGCTTAATACAGCAGCTTTGTTTCAGCGATTAAATTATACATATTATCATGATTAGTAAAAATCCCTGAATGATATTCTAAATACATGACTTAACATGATTGATGAATAAAAATGTCTCAAACAAAATACTAAATTTGGAAAAAAACGTTTCCTTAAAATGTCTTATAACAATAATCTCATGTAAAAATCTGATTATTGAGCAGTGGAATCGTCATTTTTTTCGATGGTAATATGGTTTTCCTATTCCAACTTCATACAGTCAGATGTATTGAAATCTTTACTGGAGAAAACAAGTCTATAACACTACTATCTCAATACACTGTACTAAACCCCGACAGTCCAGGTACCAGTCTTCAATACCAACATCTGATTGGTTTAATACTGGCTTAACATTTGAAATTGACCAATGAAAGTGTTCGGTTTCTTTACTGGTTTCCAGCATTGCTCAGAAGATTCAAGTCACTTCCAAAGGAAATTTCTTCGTCAGAATTCATTTTACTGAAAGTGAAGTAAAAAATTAAAATGTACTAATAAGATTATGATTAAGCAGCTATAAAATAGTGATTTCCTAACTATAAATGTATTAACAGCTATAATACGTATCAGTTGACAGACCCTTTTACTTTTCAGTCATCCCAAGGACAATTGAAGCATACAGTAAATTTGTTTGTTTAAGTTACATACAGTTAACATTCAAGATCATGAGCAGTGATGACATCATTTTTTCCACACACAATTGAGGGGATAATATACTGTCTGTACTCAATCTAGTTATTTAAGTTAAGGTGCTAAATCCTTTAAGAGGACTATTTCTGTTACAAAGTTTGGCAAATCCATTAAAATATCTACAACATACTGTTATAAATAACTTTGAAGTCAGCTATGTTTGATTTACAAGCTTAAACATTATATCTAACTGATCATGAATCTTTCCAGTGTTTAAAATATTATGCTAGATGACTATCCAATAGCTTCCATGGGATAACACATAATCACCAATTGACCTGCTTTACATGAAAAGAACATATTGTTTTTGTTTGTGATTCTGTTTATGAGAAAATGACCAAGTACTGAAAAGAAAAGCAGACTACATTAATCACTGCAAAAAACACTGGAAAGGTCAATTTTATCAGTAATAACACCAAGTTACACACCATGAATAAAGTAAAGGAGTGTTCAACCAGTCTCCGCTATATCTAACTGTTCCTGGAATTCTGTATATAATCTCTGTAATGCCTTTAAGTTTTCACTGAACAAGGGCAGTAACTCTTTCAACAAATCCCTCTTGTTAAATCCCTGAAAATGAAATTAAATCAATGTAAAAGTTTTTATAGTAACAATTTTCTAACAATCTATCTTTGTATCTATCCAAGTATGTCGATCTGCATTTGTATTTAGTTGTTAAAGAAAAATTATGATGGGGGAGATCTATTTTCATCTGCAGTGACCTTCACCCAGCTGACCTGAAATCCCAAACTCCTCACAGTAATTACCTCCCTTAACAGATTGTAATCACTGCCTTCACATACATCGCATTATAATGAAAGTCACATGATGTAACATTGAATTTCAAATCTAAATATTGACCATATCTAAATATCCACCGTTACATAGAAAATCTGATGTCATTTTTCTCTTTCTGTTTTATTTTTAAACTTTTCGTACCTACGTTCATTATAGTTAATCAAAAAATTATCAAATGTATACAAAATGTATACAAAATAACAAAAAATAAATTCAAAAGCTAAAAAATATAAAATAACAAAATATCGTTAAAAAATGTGTGTGGTGGCACAGATCTCTGTACTGGTAAGGGGAGATCACTGTGTAGCAGATTGCTGAAATCTATTCAAAGGGAAGAGGATGGGCAGTTCATGTACAATCAATTATTTATCACAATAATTATTTATGAAAGTGAATGTCCCCTAAGAAGGCTTAAATCCAATCCCTTTTATGAACAAATTTTTGCATTTCTTAAATGGGTACCATTATTCATTTGAAAAGCAATAGTTAGTGCACCATTTTTCATTAATACTTATAACTCACACCTGACCATGAATGACAGTACTAGCTTATAATAATCCAGTATTCCTTTATAAAATCAAATAATGTTTTACACTGTTAAAAAGCTTTATATCTTTTGTACCCTTTCCTCTCTAATTTATCTTAAATGGACTGGTCCATGTGTCCTATCTTTCAATCTGACAAATCATTTTATAGGAATTTCAAAATATGTACTTACTAAAAAACAAACAGTGCAGACCATGATCAGATGGCATGGTTTTACTGGCTGATTTTGGTCTGCACTGGCTGCATTGGTAGAATGTATTGCAGACACCATGCTGGATAAGGAATGTGCTTTAGTGGGATTTGCATATTATTATTTTGAGACTGACATAACTGTTTAAAAGGGTATAAACCTATATCTTACGAAATATTTTTATAAAAAATTAGCAAATTTATATTGGTTCTATTATTATATTGTTGATTCCCAAAAAAAGTTGTAACATACAATGTCTCTGTTATTAACATAGAATGTCTCTGTTATTAACATAGAATGTCTCTGTTATTAACATAGAATGTCTTTGTTATTTAACACACATGAATATTGTACGTAAACAGAATAAAATGTTCCGGAACAAAATATTATTTGCTATTTCAAGTAAGGTTTTATCCATTAAACAATGACTTTGTGCATGCGTCATTCGCTTTTAAGGCAATTATCTGCCATGTTTACTTCATACAAGCATTTTGGGAGTATTTTTTTCTAAAATTCAAACAATTATTTTTGCAGCAGCTTTATACATTTTAAGTTTTTGATTCAACACTGAGTAAAAGTTACATCACATATGAAAAGTACTCACCAATACAGTTTGTTGCCAGCAGTTCTTTCCCTTTGATTTATAAACCGGTCCTAACAGATCACTACACACTTCCCTTAATCTTATCTCAATACCTGTAAATTGTTTATAATAAATCATTGAAAATTATCCAAAAATGATTAAATCATGTTATATAATACCTTTTATTCTGACACTTTATCATATCATTCCTTCCTAAGAAACTATTCTGACATAACCATTCAATAAAAATAAACGACACTGTGAAACAAATGACAACAAATTCAATTCTGGATTCAAGTGGCGGAGTGGCCGAGTGGTTAACGCGTCAGACTGGTTATCTAAAATTGCTGACCATGTGGGTTCAAATCCTGTCAGGAGCAAGTCATTGTTTCCTTGAGCAAGAAACTTTACACTCATTGCTCAGTGCCAGTTGGTTCCAGGAACGGATTCGAAAGTTTGTTTATAATAAGCTTATAGCTTCCTACACAATCGAACTAAAAACAAATTTGTATAGACTAATTCCGAATTTTCTAGTTTAGTACATGTATCAGTATCTACTTTCTTCAATGAGTTGTCAAGAGTTTCTACAACCTTATGACATATATAAAAATATTAATCTATATTGCATATAAAACATGTATCATTTAAACTTGCCAAAGGAAGATCCTATTATCTTTTTTGGAGGCCAATCAGGCATTATCATGACATGAAATAACATCATAACCTGCGGGGAACAAAATGTGATTAACCTTTCCCACCAGTATACAGAGCCAGGCCAGCTTGCAGTGCAGAACAAGGGTCTATACTGCTGGTAACTTCATTTTTATATTCCTATTGATTAGAATGGACTGTTTCAAATTCTCAGCTGGACAAATCTATTACACAAATTCAGCAGATTAAGGTGTTCAACTAGCTGATGAGCCTCCAGACAAGACTTAAGTTATCTCTTTTGAATTTGGAACCAGTCACTAACAGGGTATATTGTTTGGTATTACGGCACATCAACACAATTTAGGTTGTATGGCGCGGAAACAGGAAAGATGATTCTGACTAACCTTGGCTGTTACAAACTTAAAGTAACTCAAGTAATTCAAACCCATTTAGTCGCCTCTTATGATCATGCTGTGTTGCAATAGGACCAACATAAAATCAAAGTGACATGAATGTCTTAACATAAAATGGATAATTGCATTACTTGATAATATTTAAATTAGTCGACACCTACCTTCTTGTACTAAGTACCTAACATAGGTTTGTAGCCAGAACTTATATTCTGTTGCAGATTTGAGCTGCAAGCATGTATGTAGCTGGCTCTCTAGATGATTTAATGTAGACAGTTGTCTGATCTCCGGCCCAGTCTGTATAACTCCCCGAGATGTTCCCTGAGCTCTGTTTAATATTAAAAATATATTTTTAAGAGGTGAGCAAAAAATAACATACAATTTTTGACAAGAAAATCTTTGATGTACATATGCACATTATATACATATGACTGCTGATGTTCTTTGTAATTACATTTAAGGAATTAAGACTATTTGGACAATTCTATGAACAATCTAAGCTAACTGAAGTAACTTTCTTGTAAAATTCTATTTATTTTATTCAAATCAGTTTGACAAATAAAAAATTAACCCTCAAGATATGCCTATGTCAATAGCAATGTCATATTGCAGTGGGGACTGGGTTTTCGGTAAATCTGAAATTGTAAAAGTAATATGGCAACTTCCAAGCTTTAATGGAGGAGGAAGACACCTCAACTGCCCCTCCATGCAATATCTCACACCAGTTTGCATCATAATAGTACCACTCACGTTTCAAGGGCAATCTGTTCAGCTGCCATGTATGAAAGAAATTTAAGACCTGAGATGATTTGAACTCACATTGGTAAGTTGAAAAAGTCTACCTAAAGTATTCAAATTTAACCTCTCAGCAACAGAGGTCACTCAGACTATGATCAATGTCAGTATCAAAAACTATAAAATTTACATTCTAAGAGACAACAACGCTATGGTGTGTGATATGGATTTAATATGAACCTTTTGGACCTTGTAAATGAAAATGAGGCTACATGGGGTGTGATATTGATTTGATATGGACTTTTTGGATTCTAGCTATATGGGGTGTGATATGGATTTTAATATGGCCTTTTTTGGCTCTGGAAATGAAAACGAGGCTAAATTGATAAGACTGGACCCAAAAATGATTTCTTTTTGAACATCACATTGTGCAAATAAAATTACATTGGTTATATTTTACAAGGTGTGATATAAATATTATTACCTCTCCTGAGATATTTGTAAAGACGTTAGGGTCCCTGATGTTGTTGAGCTAACCCTCGGGTTACTGTGATAATGAGCAGAACACCTGTGCACTTTATCATTTCTGTCATTTACCATCAACCTGTAAAATCATATGTCATTGATCTAATTATAGTGCTGGACGATACCACTTTTATAATTAGGGCCGTTAACAAATTGCTCCAGACTCTATATTGTTGGCTGTGTAATTATTTGCAGTTATATATCAAAAGTCCCATATATTAAAATGAACAGTTCTTAATTCCAAAGATGAAGTCCATTATAAAAATTCAGTACATACAAGGCTGAATATCTTTTTACTTTTAGTTGGGTTTTATGTCACATCAACACAGTATATGTCATACGGCAACTTTCGAGCTTCACGTGTGGAGCAAGACCTCAAGTGACCTTCCCTGCATTTGTACAGGCACGAACGGGCACCTGAGTAAAACCACTGGTGTTCCGTAAGCTAGCTGGATAGCATCCTCACACAAAAGAATCCAAAGCCCCTGTCGGGATTCGAACCCACAGCGGTGAGGGACAAGTGGTTTGAAGACAACAACAAGTCTACAAATTTTGGTCATATCTTGGTGGTCGGTCCATCTGACCAGCTAATTACCAATTTCTACACAACTGACTAAATACCAATTCTACATGATTTCTAGAGCAGCTGTGACACAATTTTTCTTCTTTATTTTTGTGAGTTGGGTTTTACTTCACAGATTATATGGCGACTTTTCAGCATTAAAGAAGACATTTGCACGGCTCAAGCATATAACTTATATAACTTACCAGCAAGCCAGTTCAGGATTAAAGGAGTATGACTTATTTGTGGATATTGTCAGTACTGGTAGACCATCACTGGTTACAAATGCTTTCAATATTTCCTCATCACCTATAACAGAAATTTTAAGAAAAAGTTATAAGAAGGTATATACTACCAAACAATATGAAAAGATATGTAAATGTTAGTAAGCTCAAGCAATTTTTAGACCTTTTTTTTTTAAAGGATGGTTATACTCATAGAAGTGTAAAATAGCGATTTTGGTTCTTGCCATTATTAGAACGTCAACATTTTTGTTGTTGTTTGAAATATCAAGTAAAACTTGCTCAATACTTTGGAAGTTTATCTGAATAATGTTTGTAATACAGTAAAGTTCAAAACAATTACTCTTTGTAAGACCATAAGCTTGATAATTCTCAGTGCTCGATAGTAATAAATGGGGCATAACTCTTTAAAAAGAGGTAACAAGAATTTTATGACCAATGCCTATCATGTTACATAATCACAAGTGTGAGAAGTTTCAACCATTCCCTTCAGTAGTTTTGGAGAAATCAATTTGCGTGAAATGTGCGCTGAGGTGAGTACATTAGCTACCCCTACTTTTCAAATAGTCGAGCTTAAAATCAGCAAATTATGGGTGTATGGAAGTTATCCCTTCTACACCTACATGTACAAACCATACTTACTTTTCATTATAGAGGATAACTGTTCATTCTTCACAACACATGATAATTTCTGTGTATTCCTGAATAAAGCAAAACAAATGTTAGGAAATTTCCATTCATTCTAGCATTTCAACAAGGTAAGCATATATCTCTCAATTGTTTTAAGGCCTGCAATAATTTCCAAATTCAATTTAATGAATATTTCTAGAAATTCTAGACTCCTACAAACTACTAATATACATGTTTATAATAACATTTAAAACAGTCTTATATAAACCTGTCCTTAAACACGTTATATTTCATATTTCATTATTTCTTTTATATAAAAAGTTAACAAATAAGGTCAGATGTATAAATACATTTATACAGTTTTTCACTCAGATACTGGTGTGCGGTGACCTTACATGTATTCTTCCATTTTTATCATTATATACTAGAACTAACCTGTTTCCTACTTATAACTATACTCTCTATACTCTGTAATTTGAAACAGGTGATAAATGCTGAATGGCAACAGACACTATTGCATTAAAATAAAATAACATGTGCTATGCCAAGCACTTCATTAATATGTGTGCAACAGAAAGTCCATTGAACTTACACACTCCCCAATCAGAAAAATTGTACGAGTCCACGTAAGTATTAATTGCCCTTTAACACTAAATTTAAAACAGACCTATTTTATTTCAATTGTCCCCAAACAGTAAATATAAAACTTACCACACATATAAGCTGCCCTTTGAAGAAATTGCCATTATATGGTGTCCATTTACATGTAAGACTGAGATCTTTGAGTTGAGGACAATACTGGGTAGTATTTTCTGTCCTATGTTGTTAAACAACGACAGCGAGCAATCTGAACAAGCTGCGCACGATGTGTTCCTGTAAAATATCAGATTCTATACGATGATTCATATCATCCAACTAAATCAAACACAAGAATCATCGAGCCTGTGCAAGTAATACACCTAATATATATTTCACATAAACATCCTCCAGCAGGGGCAAACATAAACATAAGGTATATTTGCCTAAAGGGCGATGTAAAACGGCCTTATCGCCAATTTAACTTAATTGGGCTGAGGCAGTGTATATTATAACTCAAGATAAATTTACCTTAAGATGATGTGTGTAATTTGAACAAAAAACAGTGAATTGTTACTTAAATAGCACATGACCTATATTTTTTATACTCAATAGTCATCACATACAATGTATGAATTAAATTGTTTTAACTTTTTCAAATTTTGTCTACAAAATAACATCATAGAAACTGGGACACATAACAATTTTTGGTTCAATGTTAAAGATATACTATGCTCATCTTTCAATGGCTAAAATACTTTTGATTGCAGCAATTTATTAAAATCTAGTAAATTCTTCCTGAGTATGTCTTATTTGAGTAAGTGAATGTATAAACTATTTTTCAGAAAGCTGCATTCCCCTTATTGCTTGTCCATTCTTATAAAAATAGCCAGTTTTTTTAATCATACTGTGATAACCTTTATTGTGTAGATTTAAAAATATAACACATTTTCTCTATTCAACAGATTTTTTTTACATTTCATAAGAAACTGTTTTTTTTTTTACATTTCATAAGAAACTGTATAGTAACTATCATTTTTTTTCCAAAAATCAAATTTGAGCACAATATCCCTTTAAGTCACAAATATCAATTATATATTCAAGCTTTCATTGGACACTTGTCAAAATTTGTCACAACAAAACCAACATAATGGGTTTGCGACCAGCATGGATCCAGACCAGACTGCGCATCCGCGCAGTCTGATCAGGATCCATGCTGTTCGCTTACAAACCCTATAACAAATAGAGAGACTGATAGCGAACAGCATGGATCCTGATCAGACTGCGCGGATGCACAGGCTGGTCTGGATCCATGCTGGTCGCAAACGCATAACGTTGGTTTTGTCGTGACGCGGCTCATACATCCTTTCCATTTAATAGTTGAAATCCCTTAAACATTGAATGGACTGTTAAATTCAAACCTGGGCTAATCCATTACATAAATTCGGGCCAATTATGCCTAAAAACTCTTATTTTCATTTCTTCAAAACATTTTAATTTTGGTCGTTTGTTTCAGTTTGAAAAAAAATTACTCATTTGCCATATAGATGAACTATCTTTTAATTATTATGCTCTGTTGGTAATTGGTTTAATTATACTGAATTAGTATTTTGTATGGAAGTCAAAATACAACTTTGTATACATTTTGCTACCTTCATGACACATTGCTGCACATTCAGCACTACGTTCTTTAGTTGTTGAACATCTAACATGCTCTAAATCCATTATTAAACTAGAACTATCACTAAATGTGATTAATACCCCCACAAGTCTGCTTCGGAAATGAGGATGTTACTAGTAACAGAATACCTTGTAATAGAATTGAAACATAGAGTTATGGTTGTGGGCAATTAAAGATAATTGTGGTTCATGTATGTTGCATTTCCTTTCAATGTGGTTGGCCATTGATGAAGTTTAATTGAATTACTCTGTAATAAGCCCAGAAAGACAAAGAAAAAGAACAAAGGGCAATAACTCTATAAATACTGAAGATAGAGTTATAGTTCTTGTGCACTGCACTTCCTCTTATTGTGCTTGACTATTGTTGTTTTGAATTCCAACCAGTACGTTTTAAGTTATGCTCCGGACAAGGAAAAGTATCAAAGGGCAGTAACTCTGTATTTTGTCAAAATGGAGTTATGGCTCTTGTGCACTGCACTTCCTTTTAATGTCCTTGACAACTGTATGAAGTTGTACTGAATTCCAAACAGTAGTTTTCAAGTTATGCTCTGGACATGGAAAAGTAACAAAGGGCAATAACTCTGTAATTAGTCAAGATGGAGTTATGGTTCTTGTGCACTGCACTTCCCCTTATTGTGCTTAACCATTGTGTGAAGTTGTTTTGAATTCCAACCAGTAGTTTTCAAGTCATGCTCTGGACAAGGAAAAGTAACAAAGGGCAGTAACTCTGTAATTAGTCAAGATGGAGTTATGGTTCTTATGCACTGCACTTCCTCTCAATGTGCTTGACCATTGTATGAAGTTATAATGAATTCCAACAATAAGTCTTCAAGTTATGGTCCGGACAAAAGAAAGCAATGGCAAAGTAACAAAGGGCAATAACTCTGTAATTAGTCAAGATGGAGTTATGGTTCTAGTGCACTGCACTTCCCCTTATTGTGCTTGGCCATAGTATGAAGTTGTTTTGAATTCCAACCAGTAGTTTTAAAGTCATACTCTGGACAAGGAAAAGAAACAAAGGGCAGTAACTCTGTAATAAGTCAAAATGGAGTTATGGTTCTTGTGCACTGCACTTCCTGTCAATGTGCTTGACCATTGTATGAAGTTATAATGAATTGCAACAATTAGTCTTCAAGTTATGGTCCGGACAAAAGAAAGCAATGGAAAAGTAATAAAGGGCAATAACTCTGTAATTACTTTAGATAGAGTTATGGTTCTTATGCACTGCACTTCCTCTCAATGTGCTTGACCATTGTATGTAGTTATATTGAATTCCAACCATTAGTCTTCAAGTTATGGTCCGGACAAAAAAAAAGAAGGCAATGGAAAAGCAACAAAGGGCAATATCTCTGTAATTACTTTAGATAGAGTTATGGTTCTTGTGCACTGCACTTCCCCTTATTGTGTTTGACAATTGTATGAAGTTGTTTTGAATACCAACCAGTAGTTTTCAAGTTATGCCACGGACAAGGAAAAGTAACAAAGGGCAATAACTCTGTAATTAGTCAAGATAGAGTTATGTTTCTAACGCACTGCACTTCCTCTTAATGTGCTTGACCATTGTATGTAGTTATATTGAATTCCAACCATTAGTCTTCAAGTTATGCTCCGGACAAGGAAAATGCAACGGACAAAAAAAAAAGCAAATGGAAAAGCAACAAAGGGCAATAACTCTGTAATTACTTTAGATAGAGTTATGGTTCTTGTGCACTGCACTTCCCCTTATTGTGTTTGACAATTGTATGAAGTTGTTTTGAATTCCAACCAGTAGTTTTCAAGTTATGCCCCGGACAAGGAAAAGTAACAAAGGGCAATAACTCTGTAATTAGTCAAGATAGAGTTATGGTTCTTATGCACTGCACTTCCTCTCAATGTGCTTGACCATTGTATGTAGTTATATTGAATTCCAACCATTAGTTTTCAAGTTATGCTCCGGACAAGGAAAATGCAACGGACGTCTGGACCGACCGACCGACCGACCGACCGACCGACCACCGGGTGACTCCTATATACCCCCCCAAACTTCGTTTTTGGGGGTATAAATATTATTAAATGCATTTTTGACATTTCTAAAAAATAAAAAAAATATTGATTTCAGAGTCATAATGTGCCTTTAAAGAATAAGTTTTTCGATACAAGAGAACTTCAGATGAGGCATATCAACACTAGGCCTGATCAATATTATTAATTATTATTCTAACTTTATTTCCATTTTTTATTGTTTTTCTCAGGCAAGACTTTAACTGGAAAGAGCTTACCAATCATTTATGAGACTGTTTCTGCATTTTATACATAAACAGCCTATCAATCATGTATTAGACATTTTTAAAATATTGAACATTTCAGTAGCAGTGTTGAAACAGATTAAACCGTCATATTTACCTAGATCCTGCCGCAGCTAATATTTGGGAAGACAGAACTTGTTCCCAGACTGTGTCACCACCTTGTATACATTGTAACTTGTGTAATACTATTGAACCAGTCTGTATATTATTTTTTATTTCTAATGTAAAACTTCCATCGCCTGATCCATCCGAAACCTTGGAAAAATAAAAATATAAGTTTGATGTTGATAATCATTTAATACAAAAGATCTATTGAGTTAATCTATAATTTAAAGATGCATTGTTTGATAAGTAAATATAACTGTTAAGAAATGTTCATATAGTTTAAGATCGGAATGCCGAGGGTGCGAGAGTTCGGGTCCCAGTCAAGATGCACATTTTCCTTACACTATGATATAAATATGCTACTGATTGCCTTTAGATTTCTCTTCCTACAGAAAAGTATATCAGGCAATAAGATTTAAAAATAAAAAAAAAATAAATAAACAACTTTACCTGGTACAAAATATTAGATGCCCATTATGAGCAAGACCTTTGTATAAGTTGATTTTAAAGATGTAACGATTGTCTTGTAATTATCTTATTTTAACCCATACCCTGATGGGACAAAAAGTGATTAACCTTTGACATCAGTATAGAGCCAGGCCAGCCTACACTTCTGTCAGCAGTCTGACCAGGCTCTATACCACTGGCTGACAAAATTTTAATTTTCATCTTGATACCGCCAAAACCGATAATGGACAGTTCTAAAACTGAAAGCTGGACAAGTCAATATAAGAAATTCAGCAGGTTAAAGGTTTAACCATTTATCTGCCTAGTTTGTGAAATGGACTAACCCACACTCAAGTTTGGAGCTGTGTGTTATCTGCAAGAATTTCCTAAAATTCAGCAACTAAAAAATATCAAGTGCAGTTTGACTGCATTAGTTAACAAGTAATTATTGCCGCTGGAAAAGTGTTTGTTTGTTTGATTTGGGTTTTACGTCACACCGACACAGTATAGGTCATTTGGCAACGTTCCAGCTTTACTGGTGGAGGAAGACCTCAGGTGCCCCTCTGTGCATTTTTTCAGGCACGAACGGGCACCTGAGTAGAACCACCTACGTTCCGTAAGCTAGCTGGATAGCTCCTTCACATGAAAGAATCCAAAGTCCCTGTGGGGATTCAAACCCACAGCGGTGAGGGGCAAGTGGTTTGAAGTCAACGACCATAACCACTCAGCCACGGACGCCCCCCTGGAAAAGTGTGAATACTTTCGCGATAAGAAAAACAACAATACCTGTACAGTATGATGTTTCTCTATACTGGGCACACGTAGATTGAGATCTGAGGTTGAAGATATGTACCGTACAGTTTCCTTCTCTCCAATATGATGATGTGGCTGGAATACACATATTGACATTTGTAAACTTATATATTAAGACAGTTATAACTTCTTACATATTCTGACTACAATACATATTCTGAATCAGTTCTTATAGAGTGAACTTACATAATTCTTTCTTAAATTTACTATCATAACTATGGAATTTTTTTTACTATACTTGAATCTTTTTGTTGTTGATATAGTCAAGACATATGTAAACAAGATGGCCATGACGGCCCTAAAGTATCTCCGCTTAAATCTGTTGTCTGACAATGTCATAATTACTACAATGCATATGTAGGTTTGGTTTGTCTTTACGGCATTCCAACACAATTGAGGTCATATTGCACCATAACAGGAAAGTTGATTTTGGCTAATCTTGGGTGTAACAAACTTGATGCAACACAAGGGGTCAAAACCACCTTACCTACTGGAGCTAAGGGATGCATAGACTCCAGTAACTGAAACCTATTAAGTCACCTGTTACGATCATGTAGCCATAAAAATTGGCTGCAAATCTGATGCCTTTACCCCTTAAAGGCAAGCCCTCAGCCAGAAAGCGGACAGAAGTTTTCATTGGGAAATGTTCAACAATTGTACCAGTTGTCAAGATTTGACTAAAGCTAAAAATTTCTAATTGTTAAACGGTGAGCTGTCCGAAAGCTAAGCTTAACAAGAAGATATTATCTGTTGGAAAATTATTAAAAGATCTGATGATATTTTCAAACTTACTGTAGATATAGCTGGTGTGGACGATGGGGTGGATTTCGTCTTTTCTTTATCAATCAAACGAGGGCGACCCCTCTTCTTTGGCCCTTCATCTTTGTCATGTTTCCTCTTTAATGAAAGCGATGTCTTAACTTTCTCGCTGAAATAAACCACAATCACTTTAATATGTTGTGTTCCAAGTCCAATTCCAAATGACACATGTGAAATAATTTTGTTGGCCTTATGACCCACTTAATCATAAAGAGACTGGAACTTGCCAGTTTATAATTCTGAGCACAAGCAGCCCTGAACAGAACCATCAACATTCCATATGTAAGTCAGATAGTTTTCTAATATGAAAGAATTTACTGCTTTCAACATCAATGACAAGTTACATCAATGCAAGTCTGGCCATGATTACCAGTTTGCAATGGAAGACTTTCAAATTTTCAAACAACAATTTCATATCAATTAATTGCCATGAATGCATGATATCCATAAAAATACTTTAAAAGCAAGAGAATATCTTTCAGGTCTTAAATATCTCACCTTCAACTAATCTGAGACGACTGGAGATGGGCAAATAGGACACGGATCATTTGTCAGTCTGGGGATGGACAGTTAGACAGATGAACACGGTCAAATATATGTATCAGTCAAAGGCATACAACCTGGTCAGACTACTACATTGTGAAGGTCAGCCAGAATTTAAGAGCCTGGTCCAACTAGGACATTGTGAAGGTCAGCCAGAAGTATAGAACCTGGTCAGACTACTACATTGTGAAGGTCAGCCAGAAGTATAGAACCTGGTCAGACTACTACATTGTGAAGGTCAGCCAGAAGTTTAGAACCTGGCCAGACTACTACATTGTGAAGGTCAGCCAGAAGTTTAGAACCTGGCCAGACTACTACATTGTGAAGGTCAGCCAGAAGTATAGAACCTGGCCAGACTACTTCATTGTGAAGGTCAGCCAGAAGTTTAGAACCTGGTCAGACTACTACATTGTGAAGGTCAGCCAGAAGTTTAGAACCTAGTCAGACTACTACATTGTGAAGGTCAGCCAGAAGTTTAGAACCTGGCCAGACTACTACATTGTGAAGGTCAGCCAGAAGTTTAGAACCTGGCCAGACTACTACATTGTGAAGGTCAGCCAGAAGTTTAGAACCTGGCCAGACTACTACATTGTGAAGGTCAGCCAGAAGTATAGAACCTGGCCAGACTTACTACATTGTGAAGGTCAGCCAGAAGTTTAGAACCTGGTCAGACTAATACATTGTGAAGGTCAGCCAGAAGTTTAGAACCTAGTCAGACTACTACATTGTGAAGGTCAGCCAGAAGTTTAGAACCTGGCCAGACTACTACATTGTGAAGGTCAGCCAGAAGTTTAGAACCTGGCCAGACTACTACATTGTGAAGGTCAGCCAGAAGTTTAGAACCTGGCCAGACTACTACATTGTGAAGGTCAGCCAGAAGTATAGAACCTGGTCAGACTACTACATTGTGAAGGTCAGCCAGAAGTTTAGAACCTGGTCAGACTACTACATTGTGAAGGTCAGCCAGAAGTTTAGAACCTGGTCAGACTACTACATTGTGAAGGTCAGCCAGAAGTTTAGAACCTGGTCAGACTACTACATTGTGAAGGTCAGCCAGAAGTATAGAACCTGGTCAGACTACTACATTGTGAAGGTCAGCCATAAGTTTAGAACCTGGTCAGACTACTACATTTTGAAGGTCAGCCGGAAGTATAGAACCTGGTCAGACTACTACGATATGCAAGCTTGCCTGTCCCAACTCTTTTTACATTTAGGTTATCATTTTCCATTCCAGCAAATTAAAGACTTAATCTAACTAATATATCATCACCTTAGTGCAACAACAGGTTAATTTCCATATAATTATATAAGGAATTAACATGTTTTTGCAATAAGGTGACGATATGTAGATCTAATGTTTATTTGTTATTTGTTTCATTTTACGCCTTTCCCCAACAGTATTTCAGTCATATAGGCGGGTAGTTTCCTATCCATCGTCCCTGTAGAGTTACACCAGTACTAGACAACCTTCCTCTGCACTAATCTACCAAAGCATCGCCCGGCGATCGAACCCACGCCAGAGAGGTAACTGGATTAGAAGTCATTGACTCTAACCCCTCGACCACGGAGGCGGTTATCTAATGAGAATTCTGCTTCATTGTATATGTACCTGTGTGAATGACTTGAATGATGCTTGTCAGATTTTGGTGTATCGGTCAGTTTACTCCCTGATGGTTGGTCCTGCTTGTTGTCTAATGCTGCCAGAGGCTATATAAATATCATTTAACATGCAATTACATCATATCTTTAAAACTAACACAATTATGAAATATAACAAGCTTCCTTTATCAATATGTTCAACAGAAACAAACCAAACAAATTTATGATCGTAAAATACTCTATTTAACAAAACATGTTGATTGTCATGTGGATAACCAATCATAAAATTATCAACCTATTAGCCTATTGCGCTTTAGTTATGAGTAATAGGTTCAACTTAATTTATGAGACTTCATGCGCCTAAACATAAAGAAATATAACACAACCTGTACAACAGAGTCGATCACTTTATTCTCCCCAACAGGTGACTTGGATGACGATGATTTTGGTGTGGTCTCAGGTCCTGATAGTTTACCCAGTGGGGAGCTGCCAGGGGGTTGTGGGGGAGGAGAGAGTAGCCCGCTATGTGTGACCTTGTCCTGCTTTTCCACCTGTATTTTAGTGCCAGATTTACACGTCTCGAAGTTAATCTGACTGTTATTGGTGAAAGGAACTGGTCCCTCACTGAAAATAAAGACTTTCTCCATATGAGCTGTTCTACCTCACATAATAAAGTAAAATGTATAGATAATTCACTCTTTGTATAATTTTTATAAACATTACCTGAGATCAAATGCTGATAAACTCAACAGCTAAAAATATGTTTTGTCCACTATGAGTTTCAATTTAAGAATTTTGATATGTATCTATGGCAATTTCAACTGGGGATAATATTCCTTGTGACACTGAATGAAGACAACATATTTAACATAATTTATTTCCTAAACTGCCAGCATGTAATAAAAAAGGTGCACATGCCATCAAATCAAGTAGTTCTCATAATGCCAAATGAATTTTAAAACTAGAACTGTGTCCAAAGGACACGGATGCCCCCACTGACAACATATATATGGTATATAGTGAAAAAATCAACAAAGGGCCATAATTCTGTTAAATTTGGTCGCAGCAAAAATTCCTTCCTTTACTACCATTTACACATTAAGGTTGTTCATCCCTGGAAGTTTAAGCAAAATCTGCCATCTGGTTTAAGAGGAGTTGCGTTCACAAAAATCTATATGGTATATAGTGAAACTAGAAATGTGTCATCATACCACGGATGCCCTCGCATGCAGCCAAAATTTCAAATGTTATTATATTTAGTTCCAAATTCGTTTGCACAAATTTTTTTTTTTCATTCTATGTTCAAAGCCCTTAAAACTTTTCAATGTTAACACAAACCATTTTTATACAATGTTCAAGGCACTGAAATTATTCAGTCTTAACCTTTTGAAAATAGCATATTGCATATTTGTAGCCAAAATAATGGCTATATACATTTCCACAAAAGTATGAGTGCTGAAACTGAAAGTTCAAAATTTTTTCAAACATTCAGGAAAGATAAGTTTGTCCAAAATCATTGAACAACGACCAAATTCAAACTTAAACTGCTTATTCCTAAGATGTATCTATATTATTTTCAAAGTGAAAGGGACATAACTCTGCCAAAAAATCATCGAACCATGACCACATTCCAACTTGACCTGGGAATTCCTTTGACATATCTATATGTCAATTTTGAGTTGAATATGTAACACTGTTGGGTTGATGATGAACAGAAACTGTAAATTTCATATCATTTTCAAAGTGAAAGGGGCATTACTCTGCCAAAAATCATTGAACCATGACAAAATTCGAACTTGGCCTGCGCATTCCAAAAATATATCCATATGTCAAATTTGAGTTGAATGTGTAATACTGTTGGGGAGATGATAAACAGAAACTGAAAATTTCATATTATTTTCCAAGTGAAAGGGGCATTACTCTGCAAAAAATCATCGAACCACAACCAAATTAGAACTTGTCACCTGCACATTTTTTGACATATCCATATTTCAAGTTTGAGTTGAATGTGTAATACTGTTGGGGAGATAGTGAACGGAAATTGAAAATTTCACACTATTTTCAAAGTGAAATGTACATAACTCTGCCAAAAAATCATCGAACCATGACCAAATTCGAACTTAACCTGTATTTTTTCATGACATATCCATATGTCAAGTTTGAGTTGAATGTGTTGTACCATTGGGGAGATAATGAACGGAAACTGAAAAATTCATATTATTTTCAAAGTGAAAGGGGCATAACTTTGCCCATGACCAAATTTGAACTTGACCTGTGCATTCCTTTGACGTATCCATATGTCAAGTTTGAGTTGAATGTGTTGTACCATTGGGGAGTTAATGAACGGAAACTGAAAATTTCATATTATTTTCAAAGTGAAAGGGGCATAACTCTGCCCATGACCAAATTTGAACTTGACCTGTGCATTCCTTTGACGTATCCATATGTCAAGTTTGAGTTGAATGTGTTGTACCATTGGGGAGTTAATGAACGGAAACTGAAAATTTCATATTATTTTCAAAGTAAAAGGGGCATAACTCTGCCAAAAATCATCGAACCATGACCAAATTTGAACTTGACCTGTTTTTTCTCATGACATATCCATATGTTAAGTTTGAGTTAAATGTGTTGTACCGTTGGGGAGATAATGAACGGAAACTGAAAATTTCATATTATTTTCAAAGTAAAAGGGGCATAACTCTGCCAAAAATCATCGAACCATGACCAATTTCGAACTTGACCTGTATTTTCTCATGACATATCTATATGCTAAATTTGAGTTCAATATGTGCAACGGTTATTAAGATAATGAACGGAAACTGTTGATGACGGAAGGACGGAATTACGGAATGACGGAACAGGGTAACACTATATGCCCTTGCCATTATATGGAGGGGGCATAAAAATCAACAAAGGGCCATAATTATCTTAAATTTGGTCGCAGCGAAAATTCCTTCCTTTACTACCATCTACACATTAAGGTTGTTCATCCCTGGAAGTTTAAGCAAAATCTGCCATCCGGTTTAAGAGGAGTTGTGTTCACAAGATTTCGGGACATACGGACGGATAGATGGACGGACAAGTGCAACGCTATATGCCCCCCACTTTGTGGGGGCATAAAAACAACAACTCCCCCCCCCCAAAAAAAAAACCAAGAAAGCATACTCTCAAATACAGTCATATGGCACAAATTGTTGTGTCAATACGTATTATTTCGGACATCCCTATAAATAATTGTATTTGCATACCCTACATCTGGTTCAACTGGTAAAAATATTGGTGTAATTCTTCTACGACCATCTGCTGTCTTTGTTTCTATTTGTTTATCTGTTGGCTGAAATTACAAATTTATAATAAGACTTTCACATTGGGACTACACTTGTTTTGAAATAAAGGCTATATATCGAGGGTTGATTGCAAAACTGTTGTAAGTCCTTCTTTATCTTATATAAGTTACTTGAGTTTTGCAGTCAACCCTCCATATATACTATTGAGTATACATAGCATAAAAATGACTCAGATCTTGAAATAAGTTACCGAATTATAAAACATACAGAAATATTCTATTAAAAAAATATAAGAATTGATGTTCTAAAAAACCATATGAATTGATAATAAAGTGATATGTTACACAAAACAAGAAGGCCCAACGAGAATATAATTTGTTTCCTGTCTTCTGAAACTTTTACCAGAAAATATATATAGTGTTCCTTGTAATTCTTTTTCCACTCTCAACAAATATACTTATACAGATTTTAACAAGAATAACAGATACAACATGTGAACTCGTTTGTCAGGATAATGCAACCAAATTTTATCTTAAAGTGGCATAATACACATTTTTTCATTGTCAAGTTAAGCTACATTGATAAAATACTTCAATAGATTGTCCGTTATCATGGTAACTGACCAACAGTTGATATTGGAAAATACATGTATTTAGGAAAAAATACAAATCGGCCTAATATGCAAAAAGACTCCCCAACTCTTATAAATTGAATGTTACAGGTGGGCCATATGAATTATTTATTGTTGATGCCCAGTAGATTATAAAATTAAAAGGAATTATTGAAAACTAAACTTTTTTTGACTTTTTCCACTTCTCTCACTATATACCCTTGGATGGGTGTAATGTCACTTTAAATGCAATTAAAGCAAAACGTTTTTTGTTAATATACCTTGAATGGAGAGTTACTGACATCAACTCCTTTATAAAATGATGTTTGCGATTTCGATGGTGTTGACATTATTGATGTATTTGAAGCTAATCGTGACTTTTCCTCTGGCGAGCTGTTCGCTACTTTTTGTTGTTGTTGTTGCAGCATAAGAATATCAGCAGACTCGATGATCTGATTGGCTGAACTGTTTGTATTATTTTTAGTAACAGTTTTCCCGTATATCTTTTCTAGAAGTCGATTCTGAAACAATTATTTTTACCTTATTTAAATGAATAAGTTTTTACTGTTTACAATTTAACTTTCAAACTAAATGATATACAACTAAATACAGTGACTGCAATTTTGGTATTCCATGTTTTTTGTGTCAACCTGTATGCTTTAGGTAGTTGTATAAATAACATTTTTTTTTTACTTTTTTATACTAATTACATTTATTAACTCAATAATTTACAACTCATCTAGTTAACAAAGTTCATGCAACACTTCATGCAAAAGGGTCTGGATGTATATGCTATAAATACACTTCTGTCTTGTTGATAAGAGTTTCTACCCCAATACTCCACTTAGTACACAGAAAATACTCACATGTATATCTGACCACACATTAAAGCACACATGATAATTTTCATAAATATCAGCTGAACATGATTCCATTAATTAATATTTTTTAGAAAAAACTTTTCTATTTCTTTTATAACACTTTAATTGTACATGTGAGATCAAAATGTCACTGTTCAGAAAGGTTCACTATTTAGAGGAGAAGATGTGTAAGCAGTCCAATAACGGTCGGTAGAGCCGTGTTCAAGGGATCCTGGTTCGAATCCTGGTGACGCTTCACATTTTTCTCACCATGATAAAAATTGTCTTACCATATCAGATTTGCCCATAGGAGTGCCGATCTCTTCCTGTTTGAACTTGACGTAAGCTACGGTGCCATCACAGGAGCAACACATCAGCTCTGTACCATTACTTGCCCTGTATAATATAACATATTGTCTCACCAATAGTATGGGACAATCCTATTTTCAGACACTAATTCAATGTCTATACCCATATCATGACATAATTTACATAATGGCCTTGCCCTGCTTGGAACATAGAACAGTGCATTTTTATATCAAGGGATTTCTGAAGATTTAAATTACAAAGTCCAATATACAGTCTGGTTAAACTTCATAGATAAACATTCTAGCCAGATTCTATACTGATTGTATGGCTGTGACGGCACTTCAGGTGTTCATGTTCTAAAGTATTTTCTCTTAATGCTATGTGTGCAAACCACACAATAAAAGAGAGCAATTTTCTGTAAAATTAGCAAATGTTTAACTATTATGTTTCCAAATTTGTGCAATGGTATTGACCTGCTGTGGGATTTGATACTGTCCATTGTCAGTGTAAGGAATTTCAATATCAAAGTTATAAACTGTATTAATTCTCGTTAGACTGTACCAATAAGAACACTGACTTTAAGTTGTAGCAAAGGAAGCAAGTTATTAGAGCCACCAGCTGGTATCTACAATACTTACACAACGTCCAATGTGATAAAAGTGAGCAGTCAACTGTATCAATGTGATAAAAGTGAGCAGTCAACGTCCAATGTGATAAAAGTGAGCAGTCAACGTCCAATGTGATAAAAGTGAGCAGTCAACTGTATCAATGTGATAAAAGTGAGCAGTCAACGTCCAATGTGATAAAAGTGAGCAGTCAACGTCCAATGTGATAAAAGTGAGCAGTCAACTGTATCAATGTGATAAAAGTGAGCAGTCAACGTCCAATGTGATAAAAGTGAGCAGTCAACGTCCAATGTGATAAAAGTGAGCAGTCAACTGTATCAATGTGATAAAAGTGAGCAGTCAACGTCCAATGTGATAAAAGTGAGCAGTCAACGTCCAAGGTGATAAAAGTGAGCAGTCAACTGTATCAATTCTCATAAAGTCATGCCTTGACTTTATATTGGTACCAAAAGTTCGTTATTATAGCTAGTATCTTATATATCTAAATGTCCAATGTGAAATAAGTGTTCTATAAATTAATACAAGCATTATCTTCACAACAAGGTTTATATAACTTAAAATACTTTGGTAATCTTTAGAATTTTACAAGCTTTGATGTGTGTAGGAAGTTAATACAGTAAAAGTTAATTGGAAAAGATAACTGGACGGCTTTCGGACCTAGTGTTTTGTTCGTTTTTTCTGAGCGGTCCAGTTTTCTCAATGTCCCCTTTAGAATCCTATGTACCGAGCATTGACTTACAACAGATGCTGTATATTTGCATGTTCATTATCATTTTTATGTATATTGCTAAATAAAGAAATTATGAATTACAAAATAACATGTTTTATTATTTTTGTTACTTTATTGCATCTAAATACAATAAAAGTTTGATTTAAAACGAACAGCAGATACCTCATAACCATACAGTCCGATAATATCTGCACATGTTTACATTTGGGTACTGGATAATGATTTAACGAACATAGTTTACTTTGTTAATTTTTAATAATGCCCCTAATATTGTCGATGCCATATTTGTCAGATAAAGTTTCACTGTCTTTAATTAACTCAACTTGGTCACTTATTGATAGCTCTCGTCAATTTCTCTTTGGCGATTGAATAGAACTTGGCGCTGATAAATGTCTTTTCCGTTGTTGATATTTTGGGAAATGAATATACAAAAGCAGCGCAGTATACAAATACTTTATTTTTTATTCATACTGTTTTATCTTCCTCGTGCATTTTGGCATTAGTATAAAACGGATTTCTATGCCTTATAATAACTCAAACTGTGAAAAGAGACATAATAAACAAATCAGACAGTCAGTGTTCCGTTACCGTCCAGTTAGCGTTTTAGACACAACCAATTGACAAGTACACAAGGTTATTCACACCTTCGCCATCCAGTATTGTCAACGAAATTATGTATATATTGGACTTCATGGTCCCTTATCTACCGTCCCATATTCAAATTTTACAGATTCCCGTATTGTCAATGTTTAATGCAATAATTTAACAAAGGGAAAATTTGGGACTGAATTAATCATCCGGTGATTTTTCACAGAGTCTGGTTTTCTCAACTTTCATTGTATCAAGAAAACAAATAAATAAAGCTAAAAAACCCCTAAAATATCAGTAACTCACCAAGATATATCTACAACTGAGTTTGTAAAAAGGTCATGGGTAACAACCAAAGGTCGTTTCAATGCAGTTAGCTGAAAATATAAATACACATTATTAGCTGTAAATTTTTTTTAATACAAAAACAAGAAAACCAAAAAGTTATTAAACTTTAGCCTGACAAAAATTTCATTGGTTAATGCAATCAGGACTTCTTGTGGATTTAAGAAATCTGGCTATTGTAAAATAACTATCTTTCTTCCCCCACAATTATATTCAACCATTCCAGATTTTACATTTTTCATCATATCGCCCCATTAAAGCAAAAAGGTACCAAGCGACATTTTGACCAACAAGAGCTGTCCGTAAGACAGCGCGCTCGACTTTTTTATTGCTTGCCAATAAAAAAAGTTTTTGCAGTAAAAGGCAATACAAGAATCTCTGTATTTTTAAAGTGAACAATGGCCATGAGCATTAAGATATTTAGTGAAGAATTATTTTACTGAATTGTGTGATACCCTTGAACACTGCAGCAAAGTTTGAAATGTTTAAGTCAAAAGAGGGCTGGTAAGAAAGAAAAAAAAACTAAGTCGATAAAAGGCCTTAATTTTTAAAACAAATCCTTGACAGAGTTACCTTCTCTTGCGTACAGATGGGGGTAATGATGTGAAATAGCATTAAAAGTTTCAAAGCAATATCTCAAAGGGTTAAGGCAATAAGTGGATTTTACCCATATTCAATGTATTTTCTAAGTCAAAAAGGGGCATAATTCTGTCAAAAACCTTGACAGAGTTATGTCCTCTTGTCTGTTGATGAAGGTCGTGATGGTAAACAAGTATGGTCAGTTTCAAAGCAAATACCTCCAATGGTTTTTGAAATAAAGTGAGGTGGTACAAAAAAACTTTAACCAAGCTCAATACACTTTCTAAGTCAAAAAAGGGCCATAATTCTGTCAAAAACCTTGACAGAGTTATGTACTCTTGTCTGTAGATGGAGGTTATGATGGTGAACAAGTATGGTAAGTTTCAAAGCCATACTTGTAATACTTCTGAAATAAAGTGGGGTGGTACGAAAAACTTAACCAAGGTGTGACGCCAACGCCGACGCCGGGGCGAGTAGGATAGCTCCCCTTTTCATAGAAAAGTCGAGCTAAAAATGACTTTTTACCATTTTCCATTATGTTTTAATGTTATCTTTAATCTGTAGAAATATCTCTGTAGTATCATGTTTATTTACAGACATATAAGGTTATGTAAAAAGGTACAATGTCAATATTTTCCCATTTAGTAATGCAAAAAGGTACCATATGTATACCAGTTTGAGCAAAAACGTACCAAGTGTCACATAGTACCTTTTTGCATTGAATGACTATATAAGTTTTGAGCACTTATTTTAATGCAAAAAGGAACCATGTGTCACATGGTCCCTTTATGCACACACAGAATTTACGACCCTTAAGATTATTTTATATATTAAAGTGTTTGCTTGGTACCTTTTAGCTTTTTAGCTTTTTAATGAATTTAGATGTTGACACTAAATATAACAATATATCCCAGATTATTGTTTCTGTTTTAAATTGAGGAATGATAACAGTGTGAAGATAATGATAGTGTATAAATGACTTCTTCACAAAAACGTGGACGTTTAAAGAAAAGTAATTGACTAAACTCGTGTCAACACGATACATGGGTTATATGGAAGGAGAAGTATGACAGGGAAGCGTACATCTGCAAATAAACTAGATTATGATATAGTTAAATTGGTGAAACAGCATAAAGAGTAATTTCCTAAAATGAAATCTCATTATACAAGAAAAAAAACAACTGAAAATAACTGAATACCTATCTTATGACTATGACTTAAACATTAAAAAAGATGTGGAATCTGTAAACTATTGAATGTGAAACGAAGGAAATGAAACCTGTTAAGCAACATACGTATAGGAAGGCAGTAGGCACACTAGATGGCACGATCAAGGAACAATATATTGAACATCAAAAACAGAAAGAAAATTCAAAAGAAGTAAAGGTTCAAAATAAAGTTGGAGCAAAAGGTGACACATGCGTTTATGTTGCATGTTTTGATCTCAAGGCCGTTGTAACAACCTCTTGCTCATTAGTGAGTGAGCTTTACTATTCAAGAAAACTTTTGCAACACAACTTCTTTTCCTATCCTTAAAGATCGTTCAGCACGACATTATTGTTGTGCTTGAAGCATTTTAGTTCTATCTATTCCGCATCTTTCTTGTTGGGTGGTTCCAGTATTCCTCACTTGAAAACTGTTGAATCACCCGTAGGATATGAGGCCTGCTTTTTAATTTTGTCTTTTGACGTTATATCTGTGATATGCAGGCTTCATAAATTCTGATCCCCTTTCAAAATTCCATTTTATTTATTTCAGGCCATTGTTTTCTCGTTTAGGGCACATGCCTTTTTTACTTGGTGACCATATACCGCTTTTCATGGAATGGCACAAACTTGTCACATTGAAGGTTCCATGATAACCGCCATATGAACACATCTGCGGATGTTTCAGAATTCTAAATTTTACCAGTTCATATTAAATGTTGAATTCTGCTAAAGCCAGTGCTAGGGGGGCGTGGACGGTAGTTTGCACTTGACAGTACCATCCATGATTAGACTCAATCACACCGAGCCTGCAACATTTTCAATTTTGTCGCGTTGGGCTTTCTTTAGGGATTCCTATTTCACTCTATTTTGACAGTATATTCCTTATGAGACAAAAATGTTGTATGTCATGTATGGGATAAAACAAACTGCAAAGAGAGGCATGTGAAATAGCTTCCTGCTTAATAAAAGCCCTTTTTTATTTGCCAGAGTGGTAATGTCATTAAGTCATTATTTTTCAGATTCATACGGGGGCCAAACAGAAATTAATTCGTAGCTGCGTGTCTTCTTTTATATCATCGCAAGCTCCAAATTTAAGATTGATCATCACAAATTTCTTGTATCGGGTCACACACAGACGGAGTGGCAACTTGACTCTTGAAGGGGCAAAAAAACAATTCCTGTATAATTATGTATCATTCAGTTGCAATCTCTTATATCACTGGCCAGAAAATCACAGCCAAATATTGCTGTGCCAATGAAATATAACCATGTTTTTTATTTCAAATACTTCATTAAAAACAGTGTCCGAGACTCAAAACATCCATTGACAGACAAAGAGTAAACTGGCGACAGGTGAAATGGATGCAGGTACCAAGGGAAAGCCCAAAGTCAGTATTTGTAAATTACAGCTTCAACGCAGAAGATTTTATGGAAATAGAAGTTCAAAATACAGAATCTAGACAGAAAGAAAGTATCAGTGGACAAATGGTGAACAAGATATGAAGTGATGATACCAAAACCGCCAGTTTCTATTCAAAAGAAAAATGACTTGGTAACTTTGTGTGCAAAGAAAATTATCCAAAAAGAGTTCCATAATTATAATGCCACTTAACAAAAAAACAGGAATGAAAAGGGTTATGTCACGGTGGAATTGGATGGGAATTATTCTGAATTTGACTAACAATGTAAGAGATTTTGACATAGGCATTGAGATTGATCACAGAGGAAGACTTTCAAAACATGCAATGTTATAGTTGTATCAGACATTTACTGAAAACACAAGAATTTCATATTTTTATTTGCATCATTGTAGAATAAAACTGTAACTAAATGATGCTTTTTGTTAATATTGTTGGGACAAAAAGGTACCAACTGCCATATGGTACCTTTTTTTGATATATTCGACAGCAAATGTAAAAAATCATACAATGCAAAAAGGGGCCAAGCGATCATATGGTACCTTCTTGCATTTGTCAGTCAAAATATTTATCAGTGCAAAAAGGAACCATTGCGTTTAATTGATTAATTATCACTAATTAGTAATATGTAAGCTTTCCAACTTTTTGAGCATGTACATTCAAATATTATCTAAATATATGTGAAGTTTCTTTGCCATGCTGTAAAAACCTGATTTGATATTGAACTTCAAATCTTTAAACGCGATTTTCTCGAAAACATGAAAATGTCACTTGGTACCTTTTTGCTTTAATGGGGCGATATATTTATGTTAATATATTGAATAGAAAGATAGAAGTAGTTTTTTTCTGGCATTTATTTCTATTATTTATAACACTAACATTTATGTAGCATTTCCTGACTAGTGTTACTTGTTTTTTTCTCCTTTTCAACAATTTTTTAAAACAAACCATCATTCATACCTACATGTATTTTCTTAAGATCAAAATAAAACTTACCCATACTGAGAGAGATCTGTCTCTACTGCCTATTGCACAACATGTATACTGTTGAGGCTGTCAAAAAAAGCAAAAGACATCAATTGAACCAAAAGTTCTTTTTCAAATTATCATTGTTTGATCTCTTTTCATTACGTTGGTGAATAATAAAATCTATTGTGATATTTAAAGCACTCATGCTTATCATCAAGAAAATTTTGAAAATGTATTCAAAAGTAAAATATTGTGACATGAACAAATGTAATTTACATATTGCAAACGGCACTTACTAACCACATAAATTACCAAAAAGAGGTCAAAATATGCGAAAATAGCCCTTACTGCATTAGTAACCCAGAAGAAATATGGTCTTTAATCACACATAACATGTAAATTATTCCTTGAGATTTAAATCTTTTGTATGTTTTTTTTTTTAAAATATCAGGCCATTTTATTTAAGACTGATTTTCTTGAAATATTTTGGCTCATCTGGAGGCATGCAGCTTTAGTCTTTAGAAACGATATACAAATTTCAAACTATAAAGAAAACACAGACTTACTTTTTGAGCATCTTTCTTAAATTTCTTGAACAAAATTCCTGGATTGAATCTCTGTAATATAAATAACACACTTTATAACACTATAACAGTGTAGGTAACTAATATTACGCAATTATGATTCCAATTACATAACAAGAGAGCCATGATGGCCCTGGATCGCTCCCCTGACCCATCAACCGCATCCAAGCAATGTCTTAGACAAGCATCCTGGCCAAGTTTGATGACAACTGAGTCAAACATGTGACCTCTAGTGTGTTAAAAAGGTTTTTCCATATTTGGGCAATGTGACCTAATTTTTGACCGGAGACGACCCATATTCAAACTTGACCTAAATCATCAAATCAACCTTCCTGACAAATTTCAAGAATATTTGGATGAAAACTGCAGCCACAAGAGTGTTTACAAGCTTTTTCTATTTTTAGCTCCTGTGGTCTAGTTTTTGACCGGAGATGACCCATCTTCGAACTTGACCTAGAAATCATCAAAACAACCTTCTTGACAAATTTCCAGGATATTTGAATCAAAACTGCAGCCGCTAGAGTGTTAACAAGCTTTTTCTATTTTTAGAATCTGTGACCTAGTTTTTGACCGGAGATGACCCATCTTCGAACTTGACCTAGAAATCATCAAAACAACCTTCCTGACTAATTTCAAGAATATTTGGATGAAAACTGCAGTCACTAGAGTGTCAACAAGCTTTTTTAATTTTTAGCTCCTGTGACCTAGTTTTTTGACCGGAGATAACCCATCTTTGAACCTGACCTAGAAATCATCAAAACAACCATCCTGACTAATTTTGGGAATATTTGGATGAAAACTGCAGCCACTAGAGTGTTAATAAGCTTTTTCTATTTTTAGCTCCTGTGACCTAGTTTTTGACCAGACATGACCCATCTTCAAACTTGACTTAGATATCGTCAAAACAACCTTCCTGACAAATTTCCAGAATATTTGGATGAAAACTGCAGTCACTAGAGTGTTAACAAGCTTTTTCTATTTTTAGAATCTGTGACCTAGTTTTTGACCGGACATAACCCATCTTCAAACTTGACCTAGAAATCATCAAAACAACCTTCCTGACAAATTTCCAGAATATTTGGATGAAAACTGCAGCCACTAGAATTTTAACAAGCTTTTTCTTTTTTTAGCTCCTGTGACCTAGTTTTTGACCTGACATGACCCATCTTTGAACTTAACTTAGATATCATCAAAACAACCTTCCTGACAAATTTCCAGAATATTTGGATGAAAACTGCAGCCACTAGAGTGTTAACATGCTTTTTCTATTTTTAGCTCCTGTGACCTAGTTTTTGACCGGAGATGAACCATATTCGAACTTGACCTAGAAATAATCAAAACAACCTTCCTGACAAATTTCCAGGATATTTGAATCAAAACTGCAGCCGCTAGAGTGTTAACAAGCTTTTTCTTTTTTTAGAATCTGTGACCTAGTTTTTGACCGGAGATGACCCATCTTCGAACTTGACCTAGAAATCATCAAAACAACCTTCCTGACTAATTTCAAGAATATTTGGATGAAAACTGCAGCCACTAGAGTGTCAACAAGCTTTTCTATTTTTAGCTCCTGTGACCTAGTTTTTGACCGGAGATAACCCATCTTTGAACCTGACCTAGAAATCATCAAAACAACCTTCCTGACTAATTTTGGGAATATTTGGATGAAAACTGCAGCCACTAGAGTGTTAACAAGCTTTTTCTATTTTTAGCTCCTGTGACCTAGTTTTTGACCAGACATGACCCATCTTCGAAACTTGACTTAGATATCGTCAAAACAACCTTCCTGACAAATTTCCAGAATATTTGGATGAGAACTGCAGTCACTAGAGTGTTAACAAGCTTTTTCTATTTTTAGAATCTGTGACCTAGTTTTTGACCGGACATAACCCATCTTCAAACTTGACCTAGAAATCATCAAAACAACCTTCCTGACAAATTTCCAGAATATTTGGATGAAAACTGCAGCCACTAGAATTTTAACAAGCTTTACTATTTTTAGCTCCTGTGACCTAGTTTTTGACCTGATATGACCCATCTTTGAACTTGACTTAGATATCATCAAAACAACCTTCCTGACAAATTTCCAGAATATTTGGATGAAAACTGCATCCACTAGAGTGTTAACAAGCTTTCTCTATTTTTAGCTCCTGTGACCTAGTTTTTGACCGGAGATGAACCATCTTCGAACTTGACCTAGAAATCATCAAAACAACCTTCCTGACAAATTTCCACAATATTTGGATGAAAACTGCAGCCACTAGAGTGTTTACAAGCTTTTTCTATTTTTAGCTCCTGTGGTCTAGTTTTTGACCCGAGATGACCCATCTTTCACTTGACATAGAAATCATCAAAACAACCTTCCTGACAAATTTCCAGGATATTTGAATCAAAACTGCAGCCGCTAGAGTGTTAACAAGCTTTTTCTATTTTTAGCTCCTGTGACCTAGTTTTTGACCGGACATAACCCATCTTCAAACTTGACCTAGGAATCATCATAACAACCTTCCTGACAAATTTTGGGAATATTTAGATGAAAACTGCAGCCACTAGAGTGTTAACAAGCTTTTTCTATTTTTAGCTCCTGTGACCTAGTTTTTGACCGGACATGACCCATCTTCAATTTTGACTTGGATATCATCAAAACAACCTTCCTGGCAAATTTCCAGAATATTTGGATGAGAACTGCAGTCACTAGAGTTTTAACAAGCTTTCTCTATTTTTTGCTCCTGTGACCTAGTTTTTGACCGGAGATGAACCATCTTCGAACTTGACCTAGAAATCATCAAAACAACCTTCCTGACAAGTTTCCAGAATATTTGGATGAAAACTGCAGCCACTAGAGTGTTAACAAGCTTTTTGTCTATTTATAGCTCCTGTGACCTAGTTTTTGACCGGAGATGACCCATCTTCGAACTTGATCTAGAAATCATTAAAACAACCTTTCTGACAAATTTCAAGAATATTTGAATGAATCTGCAGCCACTAGAGTGTTAACAAGCTTTTTTTTTTTGTAGTTCCTGTGACCTATTTTTTTTATCGGAGGTCACCCATGATCGAACTCATTCGAGATATTCTTTAGACAGATATTCTGACAAAGTTTCATGATGATTGAGGAATAAATGAGACTGCTAGAGTGTTAACAAACTAAATGTGGACGGACAATCATCGATCCTAAAAGCTCACCCTGAGCATGCTCAGGTGAGCTAAAAAATCTGTTACTTCTGTATCATATTATTTATATCAATTATCTAGCACAATATGTTAAAAAGTGTTTTCCCTATCACACTTTAGAGTGCATTTTGGTATCAATGGTCCATGTTGGTTCTACCACTTATATTTGCAAATTGCAGCAATCCTTAAATAGCCAATTAATATCAATTAATGTTTAAATGTATATACTTTGTATTCTGTTAATGACTATGCATTTAAATGTTCTCTATAAGAACAATTACAGGATCAGAAATTTAAAGGAACTCCAGAGGTTTTTTTCGGCATGCCGGTACTTGAAATATTTTTCTATGATTTGTGTACAATTTGACGCTGGTCTGGATCAATAGCTTGTATGCAAATATTTCCTCTCTCCTTTTTCACCAGAATTATTTATTCATATTTAGTCATGGTGCAACCTTACTCAAATTTTAAATGAGTTTCAACACCTTTCACTTCAATTGGGCTATGAATTGCACAAAAAATTCAATATTCAATTAAATTCCTTGTATATTTTTCTTTATTATCCTTTGCAGAATTTTCCATTTTATACGCTTAACTTGATTTATGTATAAGTGTCATATTTTATGTTTTTAGGCTTCTTGACCTCAATGGAGCTCCTTTAAGAAATGGAAGATGAGAGGGAAGGAGGAACAGACAAAATGAAAGGAAGGAGTCATAACTGCAGGGATAATGAGTAGGTAACAAATATGATAGATAACAAGAGGGCAATCATGGCCCTGAAATCGCTCACCTGTATATAGGCCCTTGGGGCCGGGCTAATTTTAACCTAGGGGCTTTTTTAACTTACTTGGTAGACACTCATTAGAAGATGTTTTATGATAAATATCTAAGCTCTAGCTCTTTGGGTTTTTTTAAAAGAATTTTTTTTAAAGTTTTTATTATAGACATATAAGGAAAATCAGACCCCCAGGGCGGGGCCAATTTAACCCTGGGGCTTTCATTTTAACAAGAGCTGTCACAGGAGACAGCGAAGCTCGACTAATAAAATACTGGACGCAGTAAGGAGGACAAAACTATGAAAGAAAAATCAATTATGTATAATTATGTATTAAGTTATAGTAAAAAAATAACATTGTTAACATAAATTCCAAGATCAAGGGGAATAATTCTAGAAATAGTCATGCTAGAGTTATGGACCTTGCCACACAACATTTGTGTAATGACAAGAAATATATATTTGAAGTTTTAAGTAGATACCTTAAAAAGTAAAGAAGTTATTATATTTCTTAAAGAAAATCCTAAGTTCAAAGAGAGATAAATCTGTAAATATTGCTTCAAGAGTTATGAACATTGTCACATAAAATTTAATTGATGATAAGGAATAAGTATTTGAAGTTTGAGGTAGATACCTTTAAAAATAAAAAAGTTAAAATAAAAAATAACATTTTTCTAGTAAAAAATTCTAAGTTTATTAATTCTTGCAATATTGGTGCTAGAGTTATGAACCTTGTCACATAAGATGTGGATGATGATAACGTAAATATATTTGAAGTATGAAGTTAATCCCTTTAGAAATAAATAAGTAACAGTAAAAAATAATATTTTTTATGGAAAATTCTAAGTTCAAAGGGAGATAAATCTGAAAATATTGGTGCTAGAGTTATGAACCTTGTCACATAAGATGGGGATGGTGATAACGTAAATATATTTGAAGTATGAGGTTGATCCAATAAGAAATAAAGAAGAAACAGTAAGAAATAGTATTTTTTGAGGAAAAATATTAAGTTCAAGGGGAGATAAATCTGAAAATATTGGTGCTAGAGTTATGACCCTTGTCACATAAGATGGGGATGATGATAAGGTACATATATTTGAAGTATGAGGTTCATCCCTTAAGAAATAAAGAAGTATCAGTAAAAAATATTATTTTTTAAGGAAAATTCTAAGTTCAAGGGGAGATAAATCTGAAAAATATTGGTGCTAGAGTTATGAACCTTGTCACATAAGATGTGGTTGATGATAAGGAACATATATTTGAAGTTTGAAGTTGATACCTTATGAAATGACAAAGTTATAGTGAAAAATATTTTACTGCACCAAAACTTTAATCTAAAATCTGGACGCCGACGCCGGGGCGAGTAGGACAGCTCTCCATATACTTCGTATAGTCGAGCTAAAAATTGGTAGACACTCACTAGATGATGTTTCATGCTTACTATCTAAGCTCTAACTCTTTGGGTTTTTAAAAGAAGATTTTTAAGTTTTTACTATATACATATAAAGAAATTCAATGACCCCCAACCCCCTGGGAGGGGCCAATTTTGACCCAAGGGCTTTCATTTGTACAAACTAAACTTGATAGACATTCACTAGAAAATGTTTCATGCCAAATATCTAAGCTCTAGCTCTTTGGGTTTTTTGAAAGAAGATTTTTTAAGTTTTTACTATATACATATAAGGAAAATCAATGACCCCCTGGGGCGGGGCCAATTTTGACACCAGGGCTTTTATTTGAACAAACTTGGTAACTCATAAAACAATGTTTCATGCAAAATATTTAAGCTCTACCTCTTTTGGTTTTTTAAAAGAAGATTTTTTTTCTTCTTTCGGTTGCCATGGCAACCAGAGTTCTGCATGAAATTTAATTCTTTGAACAATTTTTAAAGGTGACCTTAAAAGGACCATTCCTGTGAAGCTTGGATGAAATTGGCTTAGCGGTTTATGAGGAGATTTGTTTAAAGTAAAATTTTACGGACGCTGGACGGACGCCAGACGAAAAGCGATCACAAAAGCTCGACAGGTGAGCTAAAAAGTACACACACCCAAATTCATCATAAAATGTGATCCAGAGTATTTTGAAACAACAGAAAATAAAATTTGCACTATTAATACACATACAACAACTGTGATGGCTTTCCTATGTCCGACAAAGTCTAGAGATGTTTTCCAGCCGTCCCTCTCTACAATCTGAGCTGTTGGTCCAGAGTTGTTCATTGCATGAGCTGATACCACATAATGCCCGTCTGGTGACCAATCGCAGCGTAGAACGTGAGTCGTACCTCCGCACTAAAACATTTTATATTATCAAATATATTATACATTAAAACCACCTATAATATTATGATTAAACGGCTTTACAAGACTTTAATGGGATGTAACAACTACATTCAGCTGATGATCATTACATCCTGACCCTGCTAAATTTGTTTCAAGACTTCCCCTGCTTTTAATACAGAACAATCCATCTTCCTTTTTCAGAGGTGTTAATAACAAAAATCTAAAAGTGACAGGCAACTGTTACAGTACAGAGAATGGCCAGATACGCTGGCTAACCAAAATATTTACACTTATGACATTGGCAAGAAACTATGGCCCTTAGCATACACAGAATACATAAAATAAACACATTCATTATTACAAACCTCTTTAAATGGTTCGGTGACGATGGATTCTTGCTGCCAGTCCCGAGTCCTCCATATCCTCAGTGATTTATCATCCGATTGCGATGCCAGGTACTTGCCTACAGGGTCCCAGGTCACTCCCTTTACTAACCCTGTATGTCCCTTCAATACTGATACTTGCTCTAAAATTAACAACAATCACTTGTATTATTGCGAGGGAAAATTTGGAAAGATATTGTTTATACATTCATTACATCTAAGAATAATGAACATTAATACAGCTTTCTCTTTAAAACAAGAGACCCAAGATGGCCCTAGATGGCTTTACCTGATCCATCAAACTCATCCAAGTAATTACTTAGAAAAATGTGACCTCCAGAGTGTTAACAAGGTCTTTCCATATTTTAGCAAAGTGACCTATTTTTGGCAAAAGTTGACCTATATTTGAACTTGACCTAGAAATCATCAAAACAAGCTTGCAGACCAATTTCATGGATATTTGGATAACAACAGTAGCCGCTAGAGAGTGAATAAGATTTTTCTATTTTTAGCTCCTGTGACCTAGTTTTTCCTCAGAGATGAGTTATGTTCGAACTCCGCCAAACAATTAACTAGACAAGCATCCTGACCATGTTTGATGACAAAAGAGTAAAACATGTGACCATTAGAGCATTCATATTTGGACCTTGTGACCTAGTTTTTGACCCCAGGTGACCAATATTTGAGTTTGACCAAGAAATCATCAAAACAAACTTACAGACCAAATTTCCAGGATATTTTGATAAAAACAGTAGCCACTAAAGTGTAAACAAGATTTTTCTATTTTTGGCTCCTGTGACTTAGTTTTTGACCCAATCATCAAAACAACCTTCCTGACCAATTTCCATAATATTTAAATCAAAACTGCAGCCTCTAGAGTGTTAACAAAATTTTTATATATTTTGCTCCCGTGACCTAGTTTTTGGCCAGAGATGATCCATTTTCATTGAGATAAACATTCTGACCAAGTTTGACTATGATCCAATCAAAACTGTGACTGCTAGAGTGTTAACAACCCAAATGTTGATGATGCACTTAGTGGTCAGGTGAGCTAAAAATATTTCAGTATTTATGTATCAGTAACACCAACACTGCAAAAAGAGGACATTAATATACACTCAACCAGACTAAAACAATAAACTTTCAACTTGTGGAGAGACCATTTTCAGGAAATTTATCTGAAAAAACTTTAATTATATTTATTGTCCCTATGATTACAAGTTTCAAGGAAATGTTATAAAAATCCTTTTCAAGTTCTCATTTTCCAGTTAATATAATCCTACAATTAAATTTCTGTTTCAAAATGTTTTCAAGGAAGTTAATGTGTATAAACTATATATCTGTTGATAATATTTTTCAAGATTATTGTTAATTTTTCTAAATTATTTCTAGGAAATACTGTTAAATACAACATTCAAAGTAAGTTTAAAATTTTATTTTAAATACTTAATTTCTCATTTATACAGAACATATTATGTTAGAAAGTAGTTCAAGTAATATTTTAGACAGTGTTTTTGATTTTTGTGCCTCCCTTTCATCAATCTCAAAAAAAAAAAAAAAATTGTTTAAATGAATTATGTATTTAAATTAAAAGAAATATACATAATTAATTTTTACATTATAATGTGAGCCTCGTCATGACAAAACCAACATAATGGGTTTGCGACCAGCATGGATCCAGACCAGCCTGCGCATCCGTCCAGGCTGGTCTGGATCCATGCTGGTCGCAAACCCATTATGTTGGTTTTGTCGTGACGCGGCTCATGTATCTTTCACATTATCTTGTGGTGTCATATAAATCTAAATTTCCACATATCTAGTCAAATGAAAAGAAACCTTTTCTCTTGATCATTTTTAAGAAAATAAAATAAATTAAATAAAAAAATTCAAAGTAAGTTTAAAACTTTATTTTATATGCAAAATTTCTCATCACTATTGGCTGAATAATGTAAGAAAGTGTTGCATGATTAATTGAATGCGTGTTAAATTTTAGTGTCTTTCTTATATCAAAATTCTAAAAACAAATATTCAAATTTATGTAATAGAGAAGGAAAATACCACAACCAAATAGCGAGAAAAATATGCAATAACCGATAACTACCCGATATTTTGTATCTTATGTTTCCTAATGTCCAGATTCAGGCTCTCCTGTTCTGTTCTGTTCTAGGACTTAAAGGACAAATAAGTAACAAGTAGAAGTATGTGATAAAATTAATTTGACTGCTGACTGAAACAATTTTCTCTTTTACTAATATATTACAGAATGTTTCAAGAACCTGACTACAGAGAAAACTTATCATTGATGTTATCAGAGGTTTTACATGACATTGGTGTCAATGAAAGAATTGTGATGAGAAGGAGAAGAGAATTCATGCTGGAAGAGACTATGAGTAATATCAGGTGCAGGTTAACTGATCTAAATATAACTCAATATTATCTAGGGAGTCAAAGTGAAGGTACAACTACTTTAGGACTTCATTCAGACATTGATTTACTAGGCTGTTTGCATAGAGACAATATAATACAAGACTGGTCAGAGTGGGAACCTGACAAGAGAAACTACCTCATGATACAGGATGAGAACACTACCCCTGGGTATTGTTTCTTACAACTACTAAGAAATGATGAACCTCTTCCTGCCACTGTCACTCCTTGTAGACATTATATTACTGATAGAAGAGGAAGAATATTGTATAAAAACACGATGATAAATGAATTGCTTGAGGGTGCTCAGCAGCATGGACCATCTATTGCTACACAAGGAGGACCTGGACATTATGATGTAGACAGAGTGTACGCTTTACCATGTAAATCATGGCCTCAATCAGCATCAGGTTGGTTAGATAGACAAGGTATTGGCAGATGGCCAACACAAGAAATGAGAAGATATGCAGTCAGGACTAAGTGTTTTGTTGTTTACACTGGAAGTAAGGTCAGTGAATATCCTGAACTGGAATATAGAATTTCAACCTCATTGGCAGAAAGATTTTGTATGTTAAATCTTAATATAACACAAATAAGGTGCTATGTACTATTGAAAATGATTCTCAAGTCCTTCCTTAATCCTCAAGATGAAATCAACATTTCAAGTTTCATGTGCAAAACAGTTTTATTACACTGTATAGAAAACACAGAGTCAGGAATATGGAAAGATAACAATTTACTTACATGTTTAACATACTGCTTATTGAAATTACACAGTTGTGTACAAAATGACTGTTGTTCACATTTCATTATAACAGAAAATAATTTGATGGCAGGGCAATTTACAGCTGAGACAAAACATGAACTTTCAAAAAATATTTGTGATTTTATACAGAATGATAGACAAAGGTTACTTAGTATTGATATTGATAATCTTGGTCATAGACTTCAAGTTAAACTGAACAGGGTACTACATGGAATTTACTGTTTTCTTTCTTCTCTTCAAACACAAAAACTTGTTACGATGTTTGTTATAGTAGAATTAGCAAATAACATAAGTGGTAAGCATAAGATTATTTTAAAACATTTCCTCAATAAAAACATTAGAACAATAAAACAACATGTAGGTAAACTAATGACCTTCAGTGACAATGGTAATAGATTAGAACATGCTGCATTCAAACTTCTAGCACCTTTTGTTTTTACCACATACGGATCAATCCTAGCATCATCCAGCATTGGTGAAAATAATCAAGTGTCACCTCAAGCATTGGTTTGGCTATCAGCTGGTTTAAACTCAGATATCTCATCTAGCAGACTTAAATTGGCTTCAGTGTTTTACAGTACAGGAGATATGGAGAGAGCTGAACAAATTCTGAGACACACAGAACAACAATATTTTTCCTATCCTGTTTTACCTATCTGTGCCTGTCATAATCAGCTCCAAGAAACAGTAACAGCAGAATTAATTAGGGTATGTAGTGAACAAAGTGAGGACTGTATAAAACATATTACATCATTTTGTGTCAGATTTATACAGGAAGAGATCAACTGTGTTCCTCATGAACTACAATATGAAATGTTCAGATCTACACAAGATGACATGATACACAGACATCGACTAAAGGACTGTTGGATGGACTGGGCTGTAGTTGATTCTCTACCTTTCTTGTACTTCCTACAATACAAGATCTATCGCCATCTACAAAGACATCAAGATCAACAACAAGCACTTTGTAAACTTATAAGAATCATAGAAACAGATGAAGATCTTGGACATAGAGAAACAGCTCTCAACATTTTAGGACAATGTATGGAACAAGAAAACAGACCTCAACAAGCATTAAAGTGCTATATGCTTTCTCTTCAACAAAGGGCAAAGAACAATGTAGCAAATATCCATATATGTAAGCTCCTTTCTGGCTTACTGGTTAGCCAATAAACTTGGATAATAAAACAAGAGGGCCATGATGGCCCTGAAGTCGCTCACCTGTATATAGGCCCCCAGAGCGGGGCCAGTTTAAACCCCAGGGCTTTTATTTGAACAAACTTGGTTGACATCCATTAGAAGATATTTCATGCTAAACATCTACGGTCTAGCTTGTTGAGTTTTAAAAAAAAAGATTTTTTAAGTTTTAACTATACACATATAGTTAAAAGCAATGAAACCCCTAGGTCGGGGTCAGTTTTGACCCCAGGGCTTTTATTTGAACAAACTTTGAAGACACTCACTAGAACATGTTTCATGCTTAATATCTAAACTCTAGCTATTTGGTTTTTTTTTAAAGAAGACTTTGAAGTTTTTGCTATACACATATAAGGAAAATCGATGTCCCCCGGGGCAGGGCCAATTTTGACCCTAGGGCTTTTATTTGAACAAACTTTGAAGACACTAACCGGAAGATGTTTCATGCTTAATATCTTAACTCTAGCTATTTGGGTTTTTTCAAAGAAGATTTTTAAGTTTTTGCTATACACATAAATAAAATCAATGACCCCTGGGGCGGGGCCAATTTTGACCCAAGGGCTTTTATTTGAACAAACTTTGTAGACACTCACAAGAAGAGGTTTCATGCTTAGTATCTAAACTCTAGCTATTTGGTTTTTTTTCAAAGAAGATTTTTTTTTAAAGTTTTTGCTTTACACATATAAGGAAAATCAATGACCCCCGGGGCAGGGCAAATTTTGACCCCAGGGCTCTTATTATGCCCCCATTTTG